TAACATGTTAAATAATGTTGCCAGAATTGTACTGCAGCAGCAGGTAACTGTCAAATAAGAATTCATATATACAGCATCATAATATATATCCTAAACAGATGCAAGATGGTAATACGGGGCAGCAGCATGCCTACACCTCAATGAATATAGGCCCAAAATCCAGGTATCTGCTGAGCTGAGGAATCCAATGATGGAGTTTATCAATGTTATTCTCCTGTTATTATATACTAAAACGATTAGGGAAAGCTAGATATTTGCATAAATACATGTCATATAGCAAAATAGTCTTAAAATGGGCAAACATTGAAGTATTTAAATTCATTTACCTGAATACTTCTCTAAAACAAAGTATAATCAATTTTAAGGAAAACTCAATGTAACAAACTGGCGAAGATTCACAGGAAGTACTTCCTGGTTTTTGTCATATACTCAGGAGAACTTTTGCTCAACAACTGATGATTACATTGTTAAAATTTATTAAGGATGAATTAATTCTTAGAAAAAAGAAAAAATCATGATAAAAGGGTCTTTGTGTGTTTTAACAGACTTTCACAACACACAGGGTAAAAATGCCAAAGAAATTCCTTTGAAAGAAATGTGAATACTTGGGAAACAAATTTCCTTACTAGGGTATTGATAAAAAAGGGGACACTGTCATCAGAGCAAAATGCACCCCTGCAATTTCAGGCTTAGAATATGAAACAGAAAGAATACTCACCAAAGGATAAGTTTTCAACACATATCCTACACACAATACCCTCTTTATTCAAAATTTCTTGGTACTTTAGGGTCTAATAAACTGCATTTCTGTGTCCCAACAAAGCTGTGCCATATATAATTAGAGCTAGACAAAACTACCTATGGACACTGTATTCTCTAAAGTAGAGAAATTACAGTAAGAGTTTCAAAACAGATTTACATGCTCTTGAAGTAGACAAGAAAGTCTCTCTTTTACCTATAACTACCAGGTGTTGGTTTATTTATTGGCAGAATCTCAGGAATGAAAGGGGGGAAAATGAAAATGAAAGTATATAATGAGAGAATAAAATTGTGAGAAAAATTCCACTGACATTATTTTCAGTAAAATCTGACTTGAATCATATTAATTTTTGTCAATCAGCTGAATTAGTATGTAATGAGAAAATCATCCTCAAGAAAATACAAGCTAATAATACATCTTAACTTTATATCATAACACAAAAATGCTTTAAAAACATAAATTATCAACATTATATATTTGCTATTAATAAACCATACTGTATGTAGTCCCTCAGTGCCACAGATGATTTTGGCAGTGAAAACTGACAAAGAAAAATGAGAATGTTAAAATAAAATGCTTCCTTCTAATGCAGTCTTATAAAACAGAAACAAAGGCTTGCTTGAGGCCTTCCCTACCAGAAAAACATAAATTACCTTTTCTGCTAATGCTTTAGTATTTACCAGGAAGCACCAGAATACTAAAAGTAAAGTAACATTTGAGCAGGGTCAGGGAGCAGACTGCAGACAAACTAGAGGCTTATTTGTAAAAGAGATGAAATGATTTCAGCATAATAAAGCAGAAACATAAGCAAGTATCCACATGTATCTTTCAAATAATGTCCACAGTTAAATGGTCACTATAAGCTGACAAGAAGGGGAATGAAACTATCTTCACATTCTATTAAAACATCAGTCAATATAATGATTGTCTTTTTTAAAAATGACATCATTAGCAATATCCTGTGTCCCAGCCCTCTACAGACACTGATTATAGAACTCAGGTAAACCTACTGCTTCTTTCTACTACGTAGTCTAGAAATAAAAACTGAGTCTGAAACCCTGAGTTTCCATCGCTTTTCTGTGGCTTCACTCATCTTTAGACACAGCTCCCCAATATATCCAGCATCTGCATAAGTCACCATTTTTTTTTTTAACAGGGAGAACCTAAGCTGAGAAATCTCCACAAAACGAGCAGATAGGTGAACACTGTAACTTCTTTCCATAAAACCCTCTCAAAAGCGGAGAGTTTACTATTGTATAAATAGCTTACCAAATAACAATCTTTCTTCACAAATGTACTATAAACACATACAGGGCAGTAGGATTCCAAGTAAAATCTTTTAAAAGTCTTACAAAAGAAAACAGGCTACTGGAACCATAATTTGCTATTTTCTTCTAATATGGGGACAAGCAGTGCTTTCATTCTTGGACATGACAAAAGCCAGAAAACTTTCTTAAGAGGATGGGACCAGAAGGGAGTATGTGAATAGACTATGATCAGATCAGTTCCTAGCATCAGAAGCTATAGGAGAGGCTGGCAAATAATCTTTATAGAAAAAGAAGCATTTTTTAAATTATATCTTTCCAAAAGTTTGCACGTTCACTACAACCCACCTACTATCAAGTAAAGCAAGACAAAAAAGTGGTAGCGGCAGTTACTCCTAAAAACCATGTCTACTCTCAGAGAGGGAATCTATAAGTTTTTGAAAATCCCCCCAATCATGCAAGATTAAGTTAGATGAAGATTTGTGCCCTTTCCTTAGTTTGTAATGAACCAGCAATTTTACACATCATCGCAAGTTAATAAGGGAATAAACAATAATACTGGCTCTCTTGATTTCTCAGATGTGTCTGTGGAAAGAACATGACAAAAGCACTAATGCTCAATTAGGAAAACTTCATCAGAATCTCCAGGGGAAAGAAATGGAGTGTGGGGGAGTTGTGTGTATAATCCAAAGGAAGATTTACCACTAACCCTAAACAATCTATCAAAAAGAACAAACAACAGCCATGTCCCAGAAAACCTGGAAAAAAGATAAAATCAGAAAGGCTGCTTGAGTATGCTTTATCACTCAAAGAAAAAGAGGGAGGTGAAAGACAACTGACACCACTGCATACACGTGTATAGATCAAAAAGATAGAACAGAGAGACCAGAATGAAAACTACTTTTAAGATCAACTGCACTAACAGAATACAAACTGTTTAATCAATATTACATGTTGTTATATAATGCATATTCATTTTTACTCTTAAACACTGTCACCCCAAACCTTTGTAAATTTTAGTTTCTCAACCTGAATTCCTCCTGAACCGTGTGTGATTTTGAATAAATTTATCTGAAGTGCTGAAAGTGACCTGAACATGAAGTACAAAAGTCCCAGTACGAAGCAAATGCTTAGTTTTCAACCTAATCAATCACAGAAAGCTGAGATAAGACCAAACATGGCATATAAAAACTCCTTACAAAACAATAAATCCAGTGCTTTTTCTCTGTAAGAAACGTGCTTATACTCTAATCAGTCATACTGAACTATAAAAAAAGACAAAATTCTCACAAAATATTAAATCAAGTAAATTATGTATTCTTCCCTTATGCAGAGACAATAATTCTTCTAAGGCACATGACCTTTAAATTGTTTTCCTAAGAGTTGTAATGCCTATACACTCATGTACAGTGCACAGCTGACAAACTACACACATTTGTGAATGCGCTGGCAACAGGGGTGCAATCAGTACTTACGTCAACCCAAGTGAAGCTAATAGCCTGTCCGAAACGTGAACCCATAACCTTGGTCTCATTAGCACTGCACTCCAGCTGTTAAAAATTCACATACTAACTTGGATTCAATTGGGGGTGAGTGGGGGGGGTGGAGGGAGTAGGCAATAAAACACAAAAAACAGGGAAGAAATTTATATAGTCAAGACTATACAAAAATTTCTATTAATGGAAAACAGCTGCAAGAATAAGAGATTCAGTATTTAAATGTGGCAGAATACTAATGGGCTTCTCTTATTCCAAGTTTCCATTCTGAAAGAAAGGCCCTTTAATACATTATTCCCTCAGGCACTCCCAAAATCACCTTTCTAAAATAAATGCTCCAGAATTCATATTATCTATTTATTAGATTAATTCTGTGGTTTTGAAAAGCCGTTTAAACCCATTCCTTCTCTAAAAATTCATGGAATCCCTCTCACCCACCCCCCAGGAAAAACTGCAATTGAAACAGTTTTCAGTATATGGTCCATAAGGCTTCTAGCACAGTCTAATTCAATGTTGGAAAATTTAGACTTCGTACTCAATATCAAAGATGTATGTCAAAAAAAGCACTGATAAAATATTTACCACTAGTTGTTTCCACCAGAATATATTCTAATTGTAACAACAATCAAAATGATTTGATTTGGTAAATATTTCTTCCCAAGCTTGGGTTAATTTAATCTTTCTCCTACATATCTCGTGAATAAATTGAAAAATTGTTTCATATGATATAAAGTTTATACCAAAACATATGCAATGTTATAAACCAATGTTACCTCAACTGAAAAATTAAATGAAAAGATGATTTTTTTTAAAGATTTATTTATTTATGCATACAAGAGCTGGGGTGGAAGCCATAGGTGGGGGTGGGGGGGCCAGTAAGAGGATTCACCAGAGACAAAGTGGAGAGCAGAACAGGCAGATCCACTGAAATACACTGCTAAGGAGAGCAGCGGGCAAGTCAGGAGAGGTCTGCTGCGCCATGTGGGTTAGAATTTTTTATATAAAGTTTTTGCATGTAATATTCTTAATAATCTAGGCCATCACCTACCCCAAAACCAGTAACAACAAAAAAAGTTACATATACATATATATATACATGTATGGGCTTTGTTGGTTTTGTTTTCCTGACATGACCAGATAGCTCTTTCAGGATAGATTTTATGTAGTATTTGGTTCGTGCAGAAACTGCCCTAGGAAATTCAGGCAATGGTTTTACCCAAACTAGAAATTTCATTCGCAAAGCTTTTAAGAACAGAAATAGATAAACAACTATCTCTCATGACAATATAACTCAGAAGTCCTACAGTTAGATGAAAGAAAATACCTAATTAGCAGAATGCTAAAGGTTGAGTAAAATTTCTGTAAAAGATGTCTCCTGGCAACCTAGACAATTTAAGAGGCAAGAAAATCTGCATGAATTTGCCATCAATCAAAAAACATTATAAAACTGATTTTAAAATGAAAAAGCAAGAAACAAACCTCAATTTTGTCTGTCTTGGCATCTCCCCAGTATATTTTGCCTTCATCATAATCCAAGGCTAAACCATTTGGCCAACCAAGAGAAGTGTTAACCAACACTACTCGGTCAGAACCATCCAGAGCTGCTCGCTCAATTTTCGGAATTTCTCCCCAGTCAGTCCAATACATGTACCTATAAAGTATACAGAAAATGAGCTAAAAACAGATAATAAATTCTAACTTTCAGATGTCCAAAAAGTGAGATCCACCCCTCATATAACATTGGTATCATCAGTTAATACCATCAGACTTAAATATTAAATAGACCAGGAATATATGACATTTATAAGTATATAAACAAAGGAAATTTTCAGATCAGTGTTATCTAGAACTGATAATGAAAATACCTTCCAATAACAAGATCTATTTTTTAATTGCGTTTTTTCAAAATATTTTGTGCTAAACTAAATCAAAACTAAGCCCAGAAATAGGACTACAAAATTAAGCATACTAAAGGGGAAGGAAAAGTAAAGATAGGAACAAAGGGTGGGAGGCAACCCTAATAGTCTAGGGTAAATGACTATGGGTGCTTTGAAGGTGGGGGTGGTATGGTAATACACATCTGAGGAGGGGTGAACCTATTCCCCTAAATCATATACAGTATTGTAAACCCATGTTACCTTAACAAAGGAAATGTATATAGAAGTAAACCAAATATTAAAAAAAAATATTTAGTGCTCCTTGAATAGACCTCTAATTTTCTAGCTGGTGTGTGATCTGACACAAAAGGTTATCCCAGTAGTAATACACATGTAGTAAACTTAATTCCCAAACTAACTCATTCTTCCTACAGTACTAAATGATTCTTTTACGATCCTGGGAGTTTAAGTGACTCTAAGGCATCCATATACACAATATTGTAAGAATATGTCACTGCTCACTCTCAGACTAAATCTCAAGAGTAACAAATAACATTCAGGAGTACTCAGAAAGTTAGGAGTAAAACTGCTTGATCTGATAGATTTTGGAAATTGAGTCATACGTATTTTTGGAGAAATAAAAAGTAAGACTTATTCTTTGTCATATCAATCTAAAAACACTGAAAATGGGACAAAATTCAATCTAGGAAAAGAGAAAGAATTCCGAAAACAATTTCTTCCTACATTTTTCATGGTAATGATGCAACCTCAGCAAAATCTGCAGCCAACACCCAAAAAGAGCAAACATGAACTTAATTTAGGGGGGAAAACAAGGATTCAAAACATTTCAGGAAAAAAAATCTAGCAATTCTGCAACTTGAGATTTTATTCCAATCACTATATTCTAAAATGAACAGATATTAAAGAGCTGTTTACTGGAAACCAACATATACTCCATATTGTTTTTTGTCAATGTTTTTAGAGATCTGCAGAAAACAGAAACACCAGGTAAAAGTTTCTATCAAAGAACATCTTACCCAACCATGGGATCTAACACAATAGCCCGGGGTTCCTCTAAGTCCTCTGAAATCAAGATCTTCCTCATGGTCCCATTGAGCCTTGTCACTTCAATTCGATCAGTGCCAGTATCTGTCCAATAAAGATTTCGGGCAACCCAGTCAACAGCAATACCATCAGGATGCGCAATTTGAGCAGTGACTACAAATTGACTGCCAGATCCATCTATGAATGAGCGGCGTATGGCCCTCACTTCATCATCAGTCCAGTAGATATAGCCTTCCACAGGATCATAATCGATGGCAATAGCATGACGGATATCTTCTAACTGCAGAACAATGTCTGTGAAGTCTGGTGTATCCAAAGAAATGCGTCTCAAGTCTGTCCTTCGGGCTAAGAGCAGTAATTCAGTGGCGCCTAGATCAGAGTTAAATAAATGAAGAAAGAAATGAAAGAGGCAAACTTAGACACTCTAGTTAAATAATTCTTAGGGTAATAGAAAAGCAAGTGAGTATAAAAGGATAATGGGGTCTATTTATGGAGGATATAGAAAGCAACACAGTAAGATAGGCTAAGTCTACCATGAGGTCAAAGTCTATAAAGGCTGTACTCTACAAATTAAGTTTTGATTCACTGTCTAGTTTCATTCATTATACAGCCCCTGGAATTAATAACAGCTAACTAAAGTTATAATTAATAATAACTAAGTAATGACTAAGAAGCTAAGTAGATGAATATTAAAAGAGGAAGGAGGCTATATAGATCCTTTGTTCAAGAAGTATGTTTACAAAGGTAAAAAAATCTAGGACAAGTATCTGTGAGTCTGAAATGTTCTAAAATTGTATTGTGATGGTTGCACAATTCTAAGTTTACTAAAAAATATTGAATTATACACCTGAAATAGCAGAATTTTATGGTATATAAAGTTGTTTAAACAAAAAGAATTATAAGGCAATGCCTGATAGAATTAAGGACAAACAAGGCTATGGAAAAGGAAGCAGCAGCAGCAGCAGAGAGGGAATCAGATAAATGTAACACACTGGTTAAAGACTAAGAGCTATGGATCCAATAGAACTGAATTCAAGTGTCTATAATTACTTGGGAAAAACACTTCTAAGTTTAGTTTCATCATCTATATGTAAGGTTGCTGGGAGGACTAAAGGAAAGATGTAAAACTCAGGAATGTACTCAACACATAAGTACTAAATAAATATTAGCAAACATATTAGAAAATAAAGATTTTTTTTTATTTCACTGAGTTTTAAACCAGTCTACATTTTAACCCAAATTAATATTCAAAAAACATAACTGAGAATGAGGATCTAAAGTTCAATTTTCATTTTAATTTTTAATGTTCAGGTAAAACACTAGCAAAAAAAATCATCTAACTATGAAAGTTAGTAAAAGAGAAAAAAATTGAAACCCAAATAAGCTTAAAAAAACAAAACAAAACAAAAAAAAAAAAACCTCTCAATCAAAGAAAAGAGTCCAAAGGAAAATACTGGCATATAAGAACTTCAAGCATGGAATTAAGAGTTTACTAAAATGAGAAATGAAATGCTTAACATCAATTTTTTGACTAATTATAAATGAAGTCTATCCTGAAAAAAATATAGCCCTAAATGCCACAGCAGACAGCAGGCAAGAATAATTTTACAACTCACTGCCCCTTGTAACTAAATCAAAAAAAGCCAGCCCAAAATCTTGCATAGAAATCTTCAAAAGTGAAGTTGTTAATTTGAGCAAGGTGATCAAAACAGAATAGCTAACTTAAGGTTATACTATAATCTACATGTATCTGAAATTCAAAATATTCATTTGCACGTGTTCATTTGCACTGCTGGGAGGAAGTAGATAGGCCAAGACTGCTAAAATAAATGCTCTGGTTTAAAGTTAGCCTACATTTTTAAACAAAAAAACAACATTACAAAAACCTTTTGTTTTAAATTGAAACCAAATTATTGTTCACCATGGAAACTGCCTGACAAGAGTCAGCCAGCTTCACCTCTGACTATAAGGATAATCTATCAATGTCAAGTCATGACAAATATCCTGTACGCAGACTCAATTCCATCTCTCTGACTCCCTGACCTCCTTGTCAGGAACCCTCTAACCCACTTCAAAATAAAGGCTTCTGCTTTTCAGAGTTAGATAAAGAAGCCACTGCTAAATATAACAATTTTCTTACCAGGTCTTGCTGGTGGCTAGAAAGCCAGATGGCGATCCATAGGGGAAAGAATGAAGAGTAACATTCTCATTAAGAAGAAAAAGGGAAACTGGTGTTCTCCCAAACCAAAAATCCCCTGAAATGTCCTAAATCAGTATACCTCCCTATACAGAATTAAGAGAGTAAGGACAAGGAGTAGTGAGGTTGTTAAGTATGGAAAGACATTCTTTAAACAACACCATGTGAATTTTTTCCTTCTTCTGAAAGCAATTCTTTGTTATTACAAGGCAATTAAAAGTATCATTCAATCATTTTCTTAGAAAATATATGTATCCCATGATAAGGACTATAGTTACAAGGTTAATATACATCTTTTCCTTGCACAGAGGTTCCTTATTTACAAGTGCTATCTACTGTTAAAAATATATTCCTTACAAGGAGTAATACTTACCTCCTTAAAAATTAATTGTACCAATGACTATAAGATACTAATGACTATGGGATTTGAAAAAAGAAAGTAGGTGTAGGGTAAAGAAAATATCAGGCTTTTCTACCCTTCCGCCATCAGGATAGATGATGGATCCTTGCCCTGAATGCATGCCTGATGGCGGGCACCTGGAATAGGGTGTGGGCATAGGTAGATGGGATTCAGCTAAGACTGTGCTTTTAAGGGCGGCGTCACGGGGGGGACACCAGCAGCAGCAGCTGTAGAAGCCGAAGCAGAAGCCGAAAGAGAAGCTGAGAAGCAGCAGAACGAACGCTAGAGAGCCCAGATAGAGTAAAGACTTGCTGGGGCTGGGAGGCTGGCAGCCAGCACCCCTCCCTGCCATATGCCTGCTGAACCCCAAATAAAAAACCTGCAAAACTACTGAGGACTCTGACTCCTCCTTTACCCAGTCTGCATGGGATCAGAAAACCTGCACTGTGGCCAGTCCAGGCCTTTACAGTAGGAAATAAAAAATTATCTCTCCCCAGCCCCTCAGTTTTCTTATGTAACAACTAACAAGACAGATTCTAAAATGTCATGTTAACTTGTGCAATTCTAAGACATTTGTGGAATTTCACTTCTACGAAATCAGTAAACACAAGAAAAAGCATTACATTAAAAAACCCTGTTTTTAAAAAACTACCACCCTAAAATTTTAAAATACTAAAATAATTTATAAAATATTCAAGACATGCCATAAACATAAAACTCCAGTTATATAATACTTGTAAAATTTATGATATTAAGTGAATAATCTCCCAAAGCACTGTAACCTACAGTTTATTACAGAAATAAAAAGTTATAAAGAATTTTAAAAATTGTAAAATTTTTTTCCTTATTCCATACCATATTCTTACCATCTTTGCAGGTTTTTCCATTCTCCAGGAGTTTGACCCCCGTTGGGCAAGCACACTGATAAAAAGGCTTGACTGGAGACATCAAACACAAGTGGGAACAACCACCATTATTATTTCCACATGGATTTGTAGCTGTCAATATAAATCACACTGATTAATACCAATGATTATGGATGACCTCCCTCACTCTGGTACATAAAGGTTAACAATCCTAACATGAGCAACTGTGATAAACTAAATTATTACCAAATGTCATCCAGGTGCTTGACTCCCAAGGCCATATGGAAGGAAGGGAATTAATCAGTGGGAATTTACCTAGTATTTTGTATCCAAAGAGGAGTACATAAGAAATAAAGCAGGAGGCCCCCTAAAATAGCTTGCATTCTAGTCAGTACGCTAAAATTAACAAATAATACATATAAAATACAGTACAAACAATGAAACTTAATGCTATGTTGTACATGATAAACTATAAATAAGTATAATGTCAAAAAGGAAATAAAGCACTATTCAAGGATACAGAGGACATGACAGGAGTCATAAAGGATAGGAAAGACAGGAGGAAAGTTCAAGTGGTAGAACCACATGAATAATAGCTTAGAGACTGTACACCAGGTGAAATAATGAGACAAATAGTCTAAAGGCTTTTGTAGATTTGTAAGGACTAAAAGCTGAATGTGGGGAATATAAAAATAAAATTTATTAATTAAAAAAATAAAATAAAATAAAAGCTGAATGAACACAGGTAATAGGAGCAGGCTGAGGTAGAGGACAATGAAGCCAAGAAAAGTACAAGAAAACATAAAAAAAAAAAATCACACTTTCGAAAGATTTACATGGAAAAGATAAGAATAATGGATTACAAGAGGGAAACTAAGATTAATTAGTAAATTTGCAGAGATTACAGAATGAGGTGGAGCTGAACAATATTCATGGAAAATTATCAATGTTAAGATAAAGATCAACATGACGTGAAAGATACAAAGAAAACAGCATCATAGATAACTAAACTCTTAAACAAGTAAAACAAAAAGGATTAATAATTCCATCAAAAGAAAAAAAGAAAAAAAAGAAAAAAAAACAGGCAAATTCTCTCCTGAGGGCTAAGTAGGAAAATAAAGAAGTCACACAAGTGACTAAACATTTTCATTTTTACAGAAGTTAATACACATACATTTAAAAACATTTTTATGGGCTAATGATCACCATAGAAGGAGCTAATACAAAGCAATGCATAATCCAAAAGCGTTAATTTTGGCTATGAAACACAACCTGAAATACACTCAGACACAAGTCAGACATTTGGTTACACGTAAGTGCCAAACACTTAACATTCTCATATTCCTTTTAAAGCTAATTTGAATACTCTTAGAAGAAATTGTTGTCGGTAGCCACAAGCCAAAGTCATTGTAAAGGTTAGCCAAAAATAGTAGCAAAATTATTAGGGAAGAGGGTGGGGGGTGTGGCCTATAAAGGCCATAGAAAAACTTAAGCAGATCTTTTATCAGCAAGCTGAGGTACTAAATTTACTTAAAATTCACCAGATGACACCAACAGTCTCAAGAAAAGTATCTGCTATCTATACTCATTCACATGAACACAATCAAGCATACATTAGAGAAATAACATAAATAAAAATTGCATTTTATGTACAAGCTTAGTATATAAGCTGTCTCAATTTCTCATTTTCTCTCTTCTCCATCTCCAACCCCAAACAAAGGAATGAGGTAATCTGTAATGATAGGCAACATTAAGCTACAAATGGTTTAGGTTGTTCTTTACTCTAAATCTTACTTCCACTTTTCCCTATATTTTTATTCCTTTCCACTACCTTTCGCTATATCCTCCCTCCTCCTGCCCCTTATAAAGTCAGACATCAGACTGCTACAAAGCTATTCCAACTCGCAATTTAAAAATCAAGATCACTTACCATTTGGCTGCCTCTGTTGGCTGAAGGCATGTATATCCATGGGAGAAAAGATGTTAGAATGGATTTCACGCAGACCCTCGCCAGTGTACTTGTTGCAAGCCAAAATGGAGTGTGTGTTCCAGTCAGTCCAGTACAATGTGTCCTCAAATAAAGTCAAGGCAAAAGGATGTGGAAGGGAACCTTTAACCACTGCCTGCCTATTAACACAAAAGAAAAAACTCAAACATTTCTAAATTTCCTTTTATCAAAACTTCACTTCCCCCATTAAAATGGTCAGGTAGTCCATATTAACACATACAAATTCTGAGTAACATGTATCTTAATTTTTCGTGAAAAGTAAGTCACATTATTAAATTCAAATGTCATTTCACAGAGTCCAAACATCCCAACCAAGCACTTCAAAATGGTCCCTAGCATGGCAGCAGGTCCCATACCGACTACCAGTTAGAAGACAGAAGGCCAAGCACTGCTGTCAATTCCAATCTTTGTCAGGAGCTGTCAGGAGCTGGGTGGGCAAAAATAAGTAAATATAACCCTGGGGTTTACAGTAAATATTGGGATGCAGAACAAAGAATTCAAGCCTCTATCTTCCATCATTTCTTACGGTTTTGATAACTCAGATTAAACACATACACACAAAGCCAAAAAGTTGTTCAGGTAGTGCTCTCTCTACTAATCCAGGGGTACCACTAGCAACTGATCATCTCAGCTGATTTTTAGCCATACAGTTACTTAACCATCAAAAGTCAGATAGCAAAAAGGCAATCCTGCCACTGCTATGTGTTCACTGAGACAAAGCAGATCCAAAAACCTCACAATGCATATTACATGAAAAAGGATAGCACCTGATTGGTACAGCAGGCACAGAACTTTGTAATGCACCATAGAGACTGATACAATTAATAAGTATTCTGAACAATGAACAACTCAGGTTTTGAGCCCAAATAACAAATGTGTTTTCATAAATAGCCTAGGAAGAAGGGAGAGAAGGAAAATATAAGCAACTGTAGAGAAGGAGACTCATACCGTTTAAAGATGATAATCTGATTTTTAGATCCTTAAGGCTATTTGATTATCTCTAATAGCTAAAAGACTTTCAGTAGACTAAACTAAGTGAAAGAAATAAGCTCATTTTTATCTAAGCAGAATTATGTTCTTGCACACAGAAACCTAAAGTTTTATTTTTTTAAAAAAGATTTATACATTTATGCATACAAGAACTGGGGTACAGGCCAGAGGTGCAGAGGGGTAAGAGGATTCACCAGAGAGAGTAGGGAATGGAACAGGTGGATCTACTGAAATACACTGCTGAGCAGAGCAGAGGGCAAGACAGGAGAGGTCTGCTGTGCCATGTGGGTAGCTCCCTGGTGAGGAATCAGACTTGTGCTGCAGAGGCTGAGGATAGCTTCACAGTGTTGTGCTTAACCCCTTGTGCCACCAGGGAGGCCCCTACAGTGTTTTAAACTGGGGTCAGGCTTTTAAAAAAAATGAATACAAGATCAGTATGACTAGTTTACCAAGCAAACTTTCTATTTTAGAACTTTGTACCTACTCAGCTAGTCCACATCACCATAATTTTATCCTCTTACCTTTTTTTTTTTAAAGATTTATTTATTTATTTATACAAGCACTGGGTACAGTCAGAAGCGCGGGAGGGTGAGAGAATTCACCAGAGCGGGGAGCAGAGCAGGCAGAAGGACCCAAGTACACTGCTGAGGGGAGCAGCAGGCAGCAGGAGAGGTCTGCACGCCATCTGCGCGCCATGTGGTGCCCTCCTCCGGTGGCCGGGGAGCAGCTGGGGATCGAACCGGCGCCGCAGAGGCTGCGGGCAGCCTCGCAACCCAGCGCTCAACCACTGTGTCACCGGGGAGGCCCCTCTTATTTTTCTTAGTTCTCTCTTCCTTAGCATACTATTTCTTTCATTTCCCAAAAAGATTCACCACAGTGCCTATTTCCACTTTTAAATGAACCACCTCATTGGGGCCTCCCTGGTGGCATAGGGGTTAAAGAAATCTCAGCATTCTGAAGCTATTGCCAGCCACTGCACATAGGCTCAAACTCAATGCCCAGCCAGAGAGCTAACCCACACAGACAGGGAGCTAAAACACATGGCACAGCAGACCTCTCCTGTCTCACTGGCTGCTCCCTTCAGCAGTGTATTTGAGTAGATCCACCTGTTCTGCTCCCCACTCTGTCTCTGGTGAGTCCTCTAACCCCCCACACCTCTGGCCTACACCCCCAGTTCTTATATGCATAATAAAATAAATCTTTTTTAAAAATGAACCATCTTTAAGTTTCCTAAGTAATTATGTTATTTGTAGGCATGTTATCATAGTTTAAGTCCAAATTTAAATAAACCTGTATATTTCACAAAAAAGTTTTCCAAAATTCATCACGGTAAGACACAGACTTCATGAAGGTGCCAAAACTAAGTAACATTTTAAATAAACCTGTATATTTCACAAAAAAGTTTTCCAAAATTCATCACGGTAAGACACAGACTTCATGAAGGTGCCAAAACTAAGTAACATAACTGAAAATAGAATAATAAAAGCTAAGTTGTTCAGCACTTCATTAACCATCTTTAAAGAATTGCAAAATATATGATCAGATCTCTGAAAAACCTGGGGAGCTGAAAAATTTCCAACTCCTTTGTATATTAAAAAAAAGTTTTTAAAAAATACAAAGTTAAAAGTTCACTCTGATGTATGAATACAGGAGAATAAACGGGAGGCGGGGGGAGAGAAATATCCTTCCTTTTCTAAAAGTTATAATCATTTTCTACACTGACTGACGGCATTAATTATTACTTGGACCATTTCTGCAAACCTAAGTTACTGTAAAGATTAAATATATCAAAAGCTTGCTAAGTGATTATGCATATATACATAGTCTTTACACCTCTCCTGGTTGGGATTACCCAATAGCCCTATCTCTTTGGTTTCACCCTGAAAACACAAATTACTTCAAGAAGGAGTTGATCATAGTCACTGAGAACAAAAGTAGCATGCAAATTCAAAGCCTAGCTCTTCGGTATTATGCCACAACAAAAAAAATAGGCATTTATAAACGGATCTCTGCTAAAGAAACCAAAGGAAAGAAACTGACAACCCTAATGATGTGTTGCTTTATTGCTAACAACCTGAGCAGCATCTCCTCCCTCTGTTTTTCTGCAGCTTGCTAACAGAGCTAATTCCTCCCTCCCACAGCCAATACCCTCAATGACAACAGCACATTTACTACCTCTTTTCAGACTCCATGCCTGGCAGGTACGTTCCTCAAATTCTGAACCAACTGGGCTTATCCTTCACAAAATACCTGTGCGTTTGCATCTATTTTTCTCTGTTTCTGGGCCTCTTCCTAGGATGCTGTCTTCTGCCCCTGTTTAAAAATCTGAATGTCATCTGAGTAGAGATTCAGATGGTGGGACCCTCGCTTGTGCCCGGGGATCGAACTGGCGCTGCAGAGGCTGTGGGCAGCCTCGCAACCCAGTGCTCAACCACTGCGCCACCAGGGGAGGCCCTAGAGATTCCATTTTTATGTATTTAAACTTTGTTTTCTTTGAATACTGGGGTGTAGCATTCACACAACAGTCCTAGTTTAGGGGTAAGCAAACTACAGCCCACTAACTCATTATCCAGTTTGTAAATAAAGATTTACTGGAATACAATCATTCCCATGCCCTTATTTATTTTCTATAGCTGCTTTCACATCACAAGAGCAGAGGCAAGTAGTTGCAACAGAGAATACAGGCCCATACTGCCTAAAATATTTACTCTCTTATCTTTTTAAACGGATTTAGTACATTCTTGCCCCAGTACAGAGATTTACCAAACAAGTTTCCACAAACAGAACCTGGAGCTTTATGGGTAATCCTGAGTGGATTGACTCTCTGTTGGATTGGGTGTCCAAACATGGCAGAATGTTTAGAACCCCTGACAGCTCAGGAACTAAATGACAGTAAAAATCCCAGCCCTTCTGCAAACCCAAACTCCCCATATGTTCCAAACAATCTGAGATAGAACATAAGTACAACCCCTTAATGAGAACCAGTGAACAATTAAATTTGCTCAGAGTTAAGGAGAAAATACAGTCCTTTAATTCTAAATACAACCAAGAGTGATGAGATTCAGTTTCCACTTAAGAACAAACTGAAAGTCTATTCTGCTTACTCTTAGACACTTAGCTTAGCCAAAGACACACTAATTTTAATAAATTTTATAATTTGAATAATATGTTAAGACATCATGGAATTTACTTAAAATATAAAAATACATTTATAAGACAATCTTACCGATTTGTTCCATCTAGATTTGATTTGTGTATGAAATTAAGCTTTGCATCTGCCCAATAAAGCTTCTGCTCCTCATAATCCAAAGTCAGTCCATTTGGCCAGTAAATTTCAGTGTTTATTATAATGAAGCGACTTGAACCATCCATTCCAGCGCGTTCAATCTTTGGCACTTCTCCCCAGTCTGTCCAGTACATGAACCTAAAAATCAGATGAACAATAAACCCATAATATAAACAGATTACAGGCAAGTATTTTATAATTATCACTCAGTGTTCTCTAACAAACATTAAAACTGAACCCCCTAAAAAGTGTTATCAAAAACGTAATAATCTGCTTTTTGCCATTACCCGGGTAATACTGATTCAGACAGGCATCATCAAGGGTACAGAATACATCAGATCAAAGTTTATTTGGAAACAGAATATTACACTGTCTCAATGTATCTCCCCAGAGAACAGAGATAAATGAAAGAGGAAATGGCAACTTCAAAGAAAATAAACTTGGTACACAGCACTATAACAACATCAGCTAAGTTAACATCTTCCTTAAGTGAAAAATGTCATCATACATGTGATATACTGAAAAGAACAGCATCTTTTGCATAGACTCCCTTTCATAGTATTCTTGCTCCCAAATGCATAACCTGAACCAATGATGACTAAACAGATAAAACCAAATTCAGGAACACTCTAGGAAACAAGAGATCTTTTAAAAAAGCAATGTCAAAGAAAGACCAAGAACCCACAGTAGAAGAGAATAAAGAGCTACAATAATTTCAGAAAGGGCATAATTTTGGACAGAACCATTCAGAAAAATGCTAACAAGACAGTGAGAAACCTGGCAAACTTGAGGGGCTATCAAATTATCCAACAGAATGTACAATGTTAAACTCCCTAAATATGATCACTGTACTGTGGTTAGGGTATACAGGATTACACTGTATTATTTTTCTTTCTTTAAGTATTTTCTTTAAAAAGGAAGTCTACATTCTCATTAGAGGCAAAAAGAAAATTTTTTCTTGATTTAAAAGTGAAACTCAATGTGTTACACTTTAATTAAAAACATTTTTCAAGTTAATGAGAATACTATGAACTAGATATGAGATATTCAGTAAATGTGTTGAATTCAACTGAAATTCAGATATAAGTTTTAATCCAAAAATTGGTAGACAAAGCATACTAGAATCATTTCACTTATGCATACTGATATTTTATAAACACTGCTTACTCAAAGAAATGATGGTAAGAGATATCAGATGGGAAATAAATGTTTCCAAAATACAAGACACTGTACTAGTGACTATGTACGTTATCTCTCACTTATAGCAGCATTACAAAATGGCTGTCATCACCAAATAATTGCAGATGGAAAAGTTATTAAGCACATTAATGTCAAAGCTACACAACTAATAAATGGGAAGAGAAATTCAAACTTACATCCCTCAGATTTAAAGGTCAATGCTCACATAGCAGGTCAGAGGCTTGATTTGTAAAGAAGAGATACAAAGTAATCCTTACATTGAGGATAATGGTTGAGTATTGTCCAGAATAAGGGACAGGGGAATGATTCAATTCATGCATGATAAACTACATAAGGTACAGACAATTCTAGACCATGTTAGAATTTTTGCTTTTTATTCTAAGAGCGACATAAAGGTAATTAAAGACTTAAGGTTGTAGATGAAATGACTAGCTTTGTAGGGACTTTTAAGGGAGTTGCAGGGGAGACTAGCTGCAGTGTGAAGAAAGAGCAAAAGAAGATTTAAAAATTAATACAGAGGACAGAGCTACCAAAATGACCAAGAGGATCTATGCAAATCATCTCCCCTAACACCAGTAAAAAAAGAGGAAAAGATTGTCAAAAATAACATCTCTGAAAATTGTCAAAGGATACAGAACAAAATGATGAATATATATTTAAGAAAAGCTACTAAATCTTAGTAAGAACTTTTACGGCTTTTCAGTGAGGGATTACCTGCATCATCATTCAGACTGCTGGGTTTGCAGCACAGAAGTCCTATCCTGAGTAGACATGGCAAGCCATAAAGATTGGCAGCTCTTTCCCTGCAGTAGGGGGCTGAATTTATTTTGGACAGGAAATGAAAAATCTATGCCCAGGAATGATGTCAAAATACAAATGTGCTCTCAGTGGTAAATTATCAAGAGGGCTATTATCCTAGTAAAATTGGTTGGGGCCAGCATAAAAATGGCAAGCCAGACAGAAATTTAACAGGGACATTCTGGGAAACAGACATGGAAAAAGAATCCTGTTAAGCACACATTCAACCTTGGAGGTCAGGAAGACTGTGTACATGCACAAGATTGCTCCTGCCCAAAAAATACCAGAGAGACTTGTCTCTGGTTGAACAGAGGACAAACTTGAAATGTCCTAAAATTTGAAAACATTACCAAACCACAGAGGTTTGCAAAGTAAAATGAAACAGTTACTGACTCCAAGTATTCAGGAACAACCTCTAATCAATCATTAACAGACTACTAAGATACAGTGACCTAGTGGCAACCCTTAGAAAGTCAGGGATAAAAACTCTTAAAGGGAAAAAAAAAAGTTGAATAGTGACTTCAAAAGCAACACATTGAAAGAGAAACGATTAGTCCAGGGAAATCAGGAAACAAATAAAAACAATAGCAACAAAGTAGGGAGGGACTAGAATCCATACCTATTACAATATATGAACATATCTAGTTCTCTAAAAAAAAAATTACGAAATAGCCAAAGAAACAGGAACAAGGACTTCAATGTTGTTAGAATGTGTAAGAATGAAAGGGATGAATGATGATGACTCATCAAATAGAGAACATGTACAAAAGAATTGCAGGGAAAAAAAAAACATACACGCAGAAATTTTGGAATTGAAAAGCTCGAAGACAATGAAAAATTAAATGGAGATGCTCAACGGCATATCTGAGTTGATACAAGAACCAGCAAACTTGAACATAGGAGCACTCCAATATAACTGAAAGCAAAAAGAATGAAATGTGAGGGCCATGCGGGACGCTTAAGTATACCAATACACAAATAATGGAGCACAAGGGGAGAGGGCAGAAAAAGGAAAGAAAAAAATTTCAATAATTCTTTGAATTATTTGAAGACTTCGCACACTTGGTGAAAAATATTAACCCACGTATTCAAGAAGCTTAACCAACTCCAAGTACAAGAAACAAGAGTTAACTATACACATCAAACTACTCAAAAGAAAAACAATAAATCTTTAAAGTACAAAGAGAAAAGGAACTTATAGACATCACAATATAATAGCCAGTTTCTCCTTGGAACCACGGAGGGCAGCAAAGGCAGAGGGATAACATAGTTCAAGTACCGAGGGGAAAAAAAAAAAGTCACTAAGAATCGTACAGACAGCAAAACTATCCTTTAAAAATGAAGTGGAAATAAAGACATTCCCAGATAACAGTGAGAATTCATTACATGCAGACCTGCCTTCAAGAGACATCAAAGGAAGTTCATCAAGCTAAAAAGTGACACTAGATATTAACTCCAATCTACACGAAACAGCAAAAAGTACCATACAAAGATAATTATGTAGATCGCTATAAAAGACAGTACAAAATTTACTCCTTTTTCTCCTCCTTGTATTAAAAAGACAACTGCACAGAAGTAATTATAAAATTTTATCATTGGGTTTATAACATATAAAGCTATAATATATATGAAAATAATAGCGCTAAGGAATATATATACAAGAACAACAGCACCACTAAGGAAAAGGAAATTACAGCAGAAATTAAAAACAATAAGATGGCGCAGTGGTAGAAAAGTTCAAACGGAGGAGGGTCACATGGTGCGCAATCAGCAACTCTGGCTCTGGTGAAAGCTTCTGACTGTACCCAGTGCATGTATAAACAAAAAACAAACAAACAAGCAAACAAATAAATAAAGAAAAACATGCCTCTATAAAAAAAAAAAAAAAAAAACAATAAGAAAAAAAAGAGTACCAGGATTGTTAAATAAATAGGTTAATAAAAAAGATATTTTTTCTTAGTCATAGTTGTATAAAAAACAATTGTTTCAAACAATTATGACACATTATTAGTGGTTTTGTAACATGAAAATGTAATATATAACATAAGCAAAATGGAGGAGATTCATAATGGAGCAAATTTCTATATATTACTGAAATTAAACTAAAGTTCATTTTGATTAAAACTATTACAATTTACAACAAATACTATGAATATCTTAAAATTATAAAGATTCAACAAAGGAATTAACATAGCACACTAGAAACATCTGCTAATAAAAAAATGAAGCCGTTTAAGTCAAAGTGGAGCAAGAGAGACCCAGAGAAACAAATAGCAAAATGACAGACATAACTGCACTCAAGTAACATAAATAAATGGATTAGAGGCTCAAATCAACAAAGAAATGTCAGAGGACAGAATCAACAGATTCGTAGGAAAGAAATCCTAACTGGACTTGGTTCTGAGGGGTGAGAAAGAACGGGAGGAGGATGACTTAAGTCTCTATACAGGAATGATACCATACAGCAGATAACTAAAATACATCACAATACGTAGCTATTAAAATAAAAAGTGTTGAACAAATACCAATGTGTTTGGATGTGGAATAACTGTAACGGAGAGCTGTCCTTAATTATAACTTTGATTACAATTTGCACAACTTACAGTCCTGGAAGTATGGAAAAGCTGGACAAAGTAATCTAGAGCTGACTCTGGGGCTGGGATGCTCAGTTCTGCCGCTACCTAGACAAGTAATCTTGAACGAATGACTTTACCTCTCTGTCCCTCATGTTCCTCATCTGTAACTGGAGGATTAAAAACAAACCTACCTCATAGAGCTGTTTCAGGAATCAAAGTAGATAATATATAGAAAGCACTTAGAAGCCCGATATATCATTTGACTACTTTCATTATGTCATAAATTGTTCAAGGTCTCTCACTTTTAGACTAAAGGGCAAAATCATTAACATCATTTTTAATTCTATACTCTCTGGCTCCTCTCCATCTCTAGCTTCAATTTATGCCAGTTTTTACTCATAAAATGAGTCTCTCAGAGGCACCATATTCCCTGGCACTGTAGGGTGACTTTCGCTCACATTTTATTCATCTTTCAGAGTTCAACTTAAATAGCAATTCCTCCAAGAAAACCTTTCCTTAAACCCCAAGTCAGTTTATTAATATGCTCCCTTACAAGCGCTCAGA